ACTGATGGCAAGGCATTGGAAATTTTTTTTTAATTTGAAACCAGAATATAATATTATTTGTAGAAAGTCTTAAATGACAGAATCAACTATATATAGCATTTTAGCTGTGCTTGGACTCGTGTTGCTTTAGTGTATATGTAGCACTGAATTGGTGCTAGTGCTGCTGTGGAGAAGTGGGTAACGAATATGGCATTGTTCTATATCAGTTCACGAGATGCTCTAAAAAGTCTGTATGTGATGGATGTGGATGTTGTCATTGCTTACAGTTGGATTTGAAATAGCTCTTGTGATCTGCTTCCATTCAAATAAAACCCAGGGCTAATCTTAATGTCTGGTTATTTGTGAAATAAGACACTTCTTCATGTTCCATGGACTGCAATATCATTTGGCTGCTGTTATTGGTTGGGTATTTTATATATTAGATAATTATGTACAGAAAGGTAATATAAAAGTAGTAAATATATTGGTTGGTTTAATGTCCTGATCTTGTACTGAGCTATCTTACCTTCTAGGTCACTGCTTTGTGCTTATATAGGAAATCATCAAGGATTTGAGGAAACTAATGCTTTTAATTGGCACTTGTTTCACTCGCTCTGAAAGGGCTTTTTACATGTAATTCACTGAACCTCTTGGCTCTAAGATATTTTTAAGCCCTGTCTGTGTACTTGGTACTCATGCTGATAATGGGCAGTGCCAGGGCTGAATGAATTTATAACTTTATAGAAGGCATATGTATCCTCTGTAGGAAACCGTAGTGTTTTACAGTTTAGCTGTATCCACCTCCATTGGGGAGAGAGCTGGGATGCCATCAGGTCTTCAATAAGGTCCTTTGCTACCTTAATCTTATAATTTCACCGCTGTCTTTTAGGTGGTGGATGCGCTCTTTGGCATTGTGGCTTGATCTGATGAATCCCTGGAGAGGGAAACTGCACACTGTAGGTTCACGGTAGTCATCGTAAATTTGGGCTGTGGCAGAAAGGCTGCAATTGCAGCTGTAAGCAGCTGTGTTCCTCTTGGTGCAGCAGTCCATATGGCAACTGACAAGTTGGGCACCAAGGAGGGATGTCTGAAATTTCCTCCCAGTAGAGAAAAGGAAACCTGGGCAGAATGGCTTAGGGGAATGTAAGGACAAAAAAATCAGAGGAGGACTCTGGAAGGACTTCTTTGGTACTTCAGTGTAGGTTGCCACTGGATACAACCATGGAGAGAATGACACGTTGCAGACATGGAAATTAAGTTGAGATTGTACATGCTTTATTATGAATAAAAGTAGCATTTTTTTTTTATTACTAGGATTTTTTCAGTTCTAAACATATACTACTGCAGTAAGATTTGTTCTCTGTTTTCACAAAATCGCAGGATGGTTGAGGTTGGAAGGGACCTCTGGAGGTTTTGGAGGGGAGAAGGGCTGGAGCAGTGGGTACTGGTGTTTCTTTCTCCTTCCTTTTTGAAGAAGGATGTGTTTGAAAGCTAGCATCTCTGGTTTCTCCACTCTTTAATAGTCTAGACTTAGAGAAGTCAGACTGTTTTATTTTTTGATGAAACAGTGGCTCTGCATACAACAAAGCCAAATAACTAACTTTCTCACCAAAGCTCTTACTGAGAACTTACTTTTAAAAGTATGGATTGCTTGTTCACATTGTCCTTTAATGAAAGAGTCAGTAGCAACACCTCATAACTTTGTGCTTAACATATGGATATAAGGCTTGAACACCAATGTCTTCTAGAGTGATTGTGTAAAACTTGAGGACCCTGACACCACTTCTTGTTGAATCTGTCTGCTCTCAGTGCTATTTTGAGGCTTCTTGATCCGAAGCCTGGGACTCTGATTCCACCTGTTAAGTGAGAATGTAGTTTGGCAACCACTGACTTCAGTTTTACCTGTCTTGCAGTTGTTCCAGTGCATTTTGTAGTGTTCCTTCTGTCCTCTTCAACTTTTTTTTCCATTCCAGAAAGCAGTGTAGTTGCCAAAGCATTTTTTGTTTTCCTTTCTAGCTACATGACTGGCTCACTGCAGCTATACGAGGGTCATGGCTTTCACCTGTGGGAAATCGTTACGCTTCAGGGTTTTATTTACTGCAGATTTGATGATCCACAAAGATTTAGGAAATAATGCTTTTTATAGTACTGCATATAGCAGCACCTACATTCCTCTTTCCTATAAGTAACAATGACAGCTGTGCTCCTCTGAGACAGCTCACGGGCCCCAGCAAGCCCTGTGTGGGAGCTGAGGACAGGCAGCAAGCATGCAAGGTCTGGATATTAGCAGTTTATAGGCTATTATAAAGGAACTGGTCCAGTTTGGTTGCTGCCACCTACTGAAACTAGAGCTTTCTACCTCATTGAGCAGACTAGTGGGAGCCATAGGTTTGCAGACGAGATCTGAAATGCCACAGTATCACTAAAAATAATAACAAAATATGCCCCCTAAAATAAGAACTTCCAAATGGTTATTTTGTTACTTAAAGTTCAGCTTCCTGTGCAGCTTTAGTGGTCCCAACTAATACTCTTTCTGTAGCTATTAATTCTTTCCCTGCTGATTTTTTTTTTTAATGTCTCTGATACAGCTTCGCCCCGTATCTCCTGTTTTCTGAGCAGTAACTTATGAATGTGTTGAGCTTTTCTGTGTTGTCTTTAATACAAAAAAGATGCTTTTTCTTTGTGATAATGAAAATTTCTGTAGATACTTCAGAAAACCTTTATGATTTATTATTTTGAGGGGAAAAGTGTCTTTTATTTTAAATATTCTTTAGTTGCTTGACAAGATCTTGCTTGCTAAACTTGATTTGAAAAATGTTTATTATAAAAAGAAAAAAAATTCTAGCACTGGTTAAATGCTTTTGAAATTGCAGGGTTCACTACATGCTTTTGGTCAGAAGGCAAAACATTTATTCCTATAACTAATTTAACAAGTACTCATAGAATAAAAAAAACCCCACAGTCTAGTTTGATATGCCGTATACAGAACGGACCGGGCAGGAATGAAATATGAGAATTTGTACAGTGGTCTTAATGACCAACTCATTTAATTTTTTTTTTCCTCTAAGGTTTGTATGATTTTACACTTGTTTAAAAAAATGTCTTTTCCCCTTCCCCTCTTAAAGGTAGAGACCTGTGGGTTCTTGTTCTGGGAAGGTTTCCAACCCATCATAAGATTGGCATTCCAGAGTTCAAGTATGTTGCTAATATGCATGGGGATGAGGTACGTTTCAACTTTTACAATGTCATTTATACCAAATACCCTTACCAGAGATTTCAAGTGAACTTCTCTCAGACGTGTGCTGCTTATTGTTCAGGTATGTCATACTCCAAAGAGGACCAAACATATGTTGGTTTTTTGAGGAATTTCAAAGTAAAGTGCCCTTGTTTTGGTGGAAGGACTTTAGGAGACCTTGCATCATGGTGGAGAATCCTACACCTAAGACCTCTCAAGTAGAGAGCTTTGTCTTCTCCACATGAATAAAAGCTTTGTCTTTTCCATGTGAATAAAGCTTTAACTTTCCTGGCAATGAGTCAGATGCAGTAGTTTGCTTGTATGTTATTATTGCCTGGGCATGAAGTATGATTGATAGAACTCTTAAAATACATCCTAAGACTGAATGATGATTGCTGCAAAGCCCCGAATTATTTAGTCTAGAAAGAAAATGTCTCTTGGGAACCTTAAGCTAGGAATACTTAGATTCACCTGAGATAACACAGTGAGTACGAAACAAAAAGCAGTTTCAGGATTAACTTGCTCTGGAAAGAATGCCCACTTAGTAATGATAAAGGAGAAAATTGTGATTATGAGCCTTCCTGGTGTAGTACGTGACTCTGGAACAGAAAGACTCAAAGCTTCACTCTTCTCTGATCTTTCCTTACTTTCTATTTCCCTTATTCTTTAGCTCTGCCTGCTTGTATTAGTCATATTCAGGATAAGTTTAAACTACACAATCTATTTCTATGCAGTCTTTAATGTGAAAGGTAAGTAGTTCAACAGAAAAGGCAAAATTTATATATATGCTAGGCTGTGAATTCCCAAAACTAAGAAAAATAGGCGTAGTTGGAAGTGTATCCTGTGTAATGTATAACATATCACAAGCTGTTGCTGTTACTGTGCGTGAGCTCTTGCACGCCTACAGGCACTTGTGACATTATGTGCCAAGAATTTTCCCCAAGTTAGACTAGTTTCACCTTGTTTGACAGTGGCTATGCTCAAAGTGCTGCTGGGAGTCTGACTGCTTTGGAATTTAACTCTATGTGGGAGGAAGCTGATTCATGGTTTCAAATGGGTACATGTGTTACTGGATGCCCAAGATAGGGTTTGCAGCTCCTAAAACCTGGTGTGTGTCAGCAGGGTAGGCCAGGGTGCCTAGGAACTGAGGCTCCATACGGCAATCCCTACAGACTGCTGAAGGCAATTGCAAACCTATGGCTACAGATGACCCAGCTTTGGTGGGAAAGAAATGAAGGGCAGGATATGATCTCATCCAGAATGTCCCGGCTTTCAAGTCCAATATTACTGGATTGCAGAGGGCCACTCTTCCTATTGAAACCTTCACTATGAAGCACTCCTGCCATTATCACTGCCCAGCCGGATGTGCGTAAGGAGCTTTGATATGGAGACATGCCCTGTTTGCATATCCACAGGGTCAGGAATTGCTGGAGAGCAGACAACCTGGATCGCTGCCTAGGATCTAAATTTTCATATTGACTTTGTGAGGAAATGAGGCAACTTTTTTTTTTTTTTTTTTTTTTTTTTAAAGTATCTGGCACTGTGTCTGAGTTTGTCTGGGCAGGGTTGTCCTTGAGTTGCCTAGGTACTATGTAGCAGTAAGTGCCATGGTACATTCGAGCTTGTTCATTAGGTCAAGTATGCACCTAGGGAAGATTCTGGAAATAGAACTATTCCTGCTTTTCAGGCCCTCATGATGATCTTTGCCTTATGTTTTTATTATGTAAGGATATAATGCACAATTGGTGTTTGTTTTTTCTTATCTAACCATAAATGTATTTCAGATGGCAGGAAATGAATTCCTCATACAAAGAAGCATTGGAGAACTTGAATATTTTTTCCCATAAT